TGCATTTGTTTCATGATCCCATTAACGATAGCCAAATGGCGGCCGCTTTAAGGCCGAAAATGCATTGAAATCGAACATTTTCACCATTCCGAACCCGGATCTCAGTTATGCATGGACGGATTTCGTTCAAATTTGGTACTTACATTAAACATAATAGGACCTTGATGCACGTCATTTTTTTTTCTGGATCAAGTTCGAAATGGCCGACTGGCGGCCATTTTCTTAAAGAATTCAGTTCTGGATCCGTATCCAAGACATGTCTGGATTGATCAAGTTCAAACTTCACACACACATGGTGCATCATGTCACAAATGAATGATGGCCATTTTAAGACCGAAAATGCATTAAAATCACGTATTTTCACAATTCCGGAACCAGATCTCAGTCATGCATGGATGGATTTTGTTCAGATTTAGTACAATGTGTTGTACATATGCAGGTGCATTTCGGTCATGATCTGCTTTGAATGTATATGTCACTCAAATATGAACGGAACGGGGACGTGTCATTGACAATGACTTGTTTAAATGAGAATGTAGTTAATTAATTAGTCAGTCAATTAATCAGTCTTTTGACTTAATAGACAACCCAATTCGTGAACAAACAAATCACATAACAATAAATACTATGCGCTGACTTCAAGATCCTCGGGGGCGGACATCCGGGCATTTTCACCGTCTGGCAACCTGCGGCGGTGAAAACAAAGGCCCAAAACTCGCAGAAAACGATACTTTGGGATGATTGTTGAGATTCCTCTGAACAGTGTAACAAGATTAGCCCTACGTGTGTAACATATATAAATTTGGTTGTTCGGGATTACTTCAAAGTTGAGTTTGTATTGTTTTCTCGAATTTTCACCGGCTCAACCGGCGTTCCACAGCAGCGCGCACAGAGCCCATAGAAATGCATGTACAGTGATGCGTGCCGTAGCAACGTAGAACGTCCGTGACGTAGCTCCGCCCCCGAGGATAGCCTAACAAGTTGTCGCAGCAGTCAAGGGCGCCACCTACGACAACTTGTCAGGCTAACTTGAATAGACAAATCAGAGAAAGATTTATGGATATATAAGATATATGGCCGAAATGTTGACACGCAGTCAAAAGGTGGTGTCAACTGGCAGCCACACATTATTTCGATAGCTCCAAATACGCGTGGAAACTAAATATCAGAGTCAATTTATAATCAAAGAAAGCTTAGAAAGAACTCCCATGTGCTGAGAGTATTGGAGACACATTAAATATAATTCTAAATTACTTAGCTGAAAACTAATTATGCAAATCAGAAAATTAATATGAACAGATTTGAGTGTAAAACTAATGAGGTCTGCGCAATGTAACAGACAATCTATGTTTCCAAGTTTAATTGAAATGTGATTAGAACCAAAAAATTATGAATTATTATGCTTATTAGGGAATTAATATGAACAGATTTTTACCCCAAACTAATTAGGTTTGTACATTGTCCTAGAGCATCTTTGTACTAAGTTTCATTGAAATGGAATAATTAGTACTTTAGATATCAGTGTGAAAGCTTAAAATTGGTTAATTATGCAAAATAGGTAATTACTATGTACAGATTTTCGCCCACAATTATCCAGGTCTGTCTAT